ACATGTATAATTTGTCAGTTGCTGACGGTCTACAATCGGTTGTTTTTACAATTGAATTGTACTGTGAGGATCCGAATCCAGACTTTCCGTGTGTTTATATCATTACATCATAATTTCACATTGTAGCCATACTTTCATTCAATAACTGTCAACTTTCACACCTGGGAGATAAACAGCTGCTAAGTTCTCAGGCTTAATAACGACGCTTTCTCAGCACCTTTCGACCTAATATCTCGATTTCAACCATACAACATTAGAACAGAACAACAAAGTGAGGCAGTCGTCGCCCGTCTTTCGAAAGAGAAGTTGTCACTCGTACCTTGTCCTAAGTGCCTCACTATTCGGATATCTGTGAATATATCCTACAAAAAGATCATCGGAACCATCGACTAACACCTTTGCGGATACTGTTCTATCATTCTTACGGATACTTCCTCTACCGGATACCCGGACTGACATTCCGAACTTTCTTCCCTTCACCAAGAACGCTCGAGAATCTCAATCAAGACAGCAAACCAGGTATTTATCGCCGGGCGAAACTTCTGTAAACTCTCTCTCTCAAATCGGGGAAAAACGTAATATCAAATACAGCTAATGTCTATCGTGTCAAATCGTAGAAATGTATCAAAAAACTAGTATATTTAAAATCGAAATGTATGGCCTCTTGTTACCGATTAAACCTTTGTTACTTTAAAGCATCTCTGAGTAAGTCACTTCTGGTGCGCTGTCTCTCCTTCCATCCCGACTCTGATAGCTCACACACGCGACCGCTCACACGCCCGAACGAAACGGTTTCTGTGTCTAGCCGTGAAGACACAGTGGTGTCAGTCCTGACGCAAATTGTCATTGCAATCTTCGCCGACGCGACGTCGACCCTTCGGTCACGTGGTGCCGAAGTATAGGGAGGCCCTTCGGCATTGTCACAGTACTATTCTAATTGGTTTTCATTTTTGGTGTTTTATTTAATTAATTTGTGGACTAATTGTATTCTTTGTAATATTTTTCAGTCAGTAAACTGCGTGTTTTTTTACATATTTTATTACTATTTGTCTAATCTTCAATGGTCTAATGCGAGATCTGAGTACTTGAAATGATTTCCCAGTATCAATTAACTTCAAACTATATTTGAATATTTTGGTTTGGTACTTTAGTGACTGTATTCTTTCTCATGATATGATAAACACTTTTAATTACAGCCGTAACTAATCGTCTAACCGTTTAATGTATAGATAACTTTGGGCTAGAAGCGTATCTAATTTAATTAATAACAATTTTTCACATTATTAGCTGTAAATAAACTAAGAACATTTGTCATTTTAATAAATTAAATATTAATTAATTATTCATCTTACAAACAAAAATAGAATTATGATAATATTCAATAACAGTTATTGTATTATGTAAAATTAAATCCTTTTTAAAACTTTCTTTACAATAAGATATTTTTCATAATATGTGAACTGTTGTAA